CGGTTAGTCATGGGGCTTGAACTAAAGGCCTGAGCGCTGTCCCGAGCTTTTTTTGCTCAAGACTAGTGCTCTACCACTTTGAGCCAAAGATCCACTTCCAATTTTCTGGTGGTAAACTGCAGATAAGAGTCTCTTGGACTTTCCAGCCTGAGCTGGCTTCAAACTGTGATCCTCAGATTTCAGCCTCCAGAGTAGGATTACAGGTATAAGCCACCCAGCACTTTCCTTATTTTTTAAATAGTGCCTCAGGATTTTTTCCCCCAAGGCTGACCTGTGGCTATGATTCTCCTACTTATGACTCCTAAATAGCTGGCCTTGCACACCAAGGAGAGAGGGGGAATTTCAGACATAGCCCATTTGAAAATGTTTCTAAAGCAAAGGCAAAACTAAGGATTAAAGATAGTTGGAAAAGTAATACTTAGTTTCCTTTCCCCTCAACTCCTTAAAATTTAACGTTTACCATGTTTGCATATTATGTTGCTAAAACCACTTAAGATCACATTGTATATACAAATACTAAAGATAATAAATAAAATAGATTAATAAAAATAAAGCACATTGTAGACATAATACTACTTTGTCAAAAACACTTGAGGTTTTATTTTCTTTTAAAAAGGGTATTCTTGGAGCTGCGAAGGTGGCTAAGTGGGAGAGTGCTTGCCTTGCATGCATGAAACCTTGGCTTTGATTCCTCAGCACCACATAAGCAGAAAAAGCTGGAAGTAGCACTGTGGCTCAAGTGGGAGTGCTAGCCGTGAGCTGAAGAGCTGAAGGAGACACACACACACACACATAAAAGGATATTTTTGAGACTAAGGGTATCAGTCTGCAGCACTAGGAGAAAGATCACACGGAAATTCTTGAGGCTAAGATCACACACACACACACACACACACACACACACACACACACACACACACACACACACACACACACACACACACACACACACACACACACACACACACACACACACACACACACACACACACACACACACACACACACGCGGAAATTCTTGAGGCTAAGATGTCTCCAGCACTAGGAGAAAGATATTTGACATTCTTCTATATAATCACAACACTCACAATGTGATACTTACTGATACTTTGCAGATTTTACTCAAATTCTAACAACAGTTTGACTACTATCCTTGGCTAGAAGAGGTGTGTGGAGAAACTTCCACCCTTGTGTCAAAACATGACAATATTTTTTGCTGTTGTTAAAACAAACAAAGCTTGTGCAGGAACACAGGCATGGCATTAACTGCATATAACCTATGGTGACTTGGAGATACAAGACAACATAGTTGACAAGTCTCAGAGTCTGGCTGTTTTTATTTGATTTATCTCATTTTGTTAACTGTAGCTTACTACAAAAGAAAAATGTTTTTCCTGGTTCAGGATTTATTTAAATATAGTTTTATCTCTTTCATCTGGAATAATTGCTTGGAATCTTGAGATTTTTTTTGAAGAAGTATCATTTATTTTATAGCACGGCCCTAATTTTTACCTGCCTGATATTTCCTTAATATCACAACTGGAAGCCAGGTGCCAGTGGCTCACACCTGTAATCCTAGCTACTCAGGAGGCTGAGATCTGTCCCTGCAACTCTTTTTTTTTTTTGTCGGTCGTGGGGCTTGAACTCTGGGCCTGGGCGCTATCCCTCAGCTCTTCAGCTCAAGGCGAGCACTCTACCACTTGAGCTACAGCGCCACTTCCTGTCCCTGCAACTCTTATCTCCAATAAACCACCAGAAAACTGGAAGTAGCACTGTAGCTCAAGTGGTAGAGGGCTAGCCTTGAGCTGAAGAGCTGAGGGACAGCGCCCAGGCCCAGAGTTCAAGCCCCACAACCAACAGAAAAAAAAAAAAAAAACAACAAAAACCAACAACAACAACACAACTGGAGGCTACTTAGGTCTTACAGGTGAGATTAAGTTTAGATCACGCTGCCAGGTTTCTGAATGATCATATGACAATTCTTTTATACTTTGTGAAGACTCATTTTAAGACTAATTTTAGTATAGTACTTAAACAACCACTAGTGCATTTTGCCTGAAATAATTATTACCATGTAATTGCCAAATAGTGATTTCATCATTCCAAACTCCTACATTCACCAGGTGGCATACTTCTCTAAGGAAAGGTATCTATCTATACAGAGATTACTGTCTGTCAAATATCACTTTTCTGACATGCCTGGGACCAGAAGTACTTCAAGTATAGGAATATTTTGGATTTCGGAATATTTGCAGACTTTTAATGCTAAGACATGCTAAATTTGGGGAACTCCAAAATCTGAAATTTTATGAGCATCATGTATCAATCAAAAAGTTTACGTTTTTAAAGCATTTCAGATTTTTTTTTGGCCAGTCCTGGGGCTTGAACTCAGGGCCTGTGCACTGTCCCTGAGCTGCTTTTTGCTCAAGGCTAACACTCTACCACTTGAGCCACAGCACCACTTCTGGCTTTTGCTGCTTATGTGGTACTGAGGAACTGAACCCAGGGCTTTATGCATGCTAGGCCAGCACTTTACCACTAAGCCACATTCCCAGCCCTCAGATTCTTTTATTAGGCATGTTCAACCTATATATACAGACTTCTAAGCTGTCACTGGATGCCTCAGGTATTAATCCAGTACATCATTTTGCCTAGCAGGGGATCTGTTAAAACTGCCTCCAATGATCTTCTATCAGGTATTTATCATTCTATAAATACAATTGCTCTTTTTATAATGTTAATTTGGAAATAACCTGAAGAGCCATGAATATGAAACATTAAGTCAAGAATAGTGTAAAGAAAATGAAAAATGCAAACTCACAAAAACAAATTATTAAGATAAAAGACAGAACATAAGTGGGGTTAAGAGTACAGCTTAGATAGACTAACATACACATCTCTATTCAAATAGTTTTCTTCAGAGATTAAAAAAAAAAACAACTAGCTGGGTGTAGGTAGCTCATGCCTATATACCTATAATTCAAACTACTAAGGAGGCTGAGATTTGAGGATCTCCATTAGGACCCAACCTGGGCAAACAAATCAAAAGACCCCTTATCTCCAATTAACTGGTAAAAAAAAGCCCCAACTAGAGGTGTGGCTCATGTGGTTAAGCACCAGGTATGAGCAAAAAGCTGAATGAGAGCAAGAGGCCCTGAGTTGAAGCCTCAGTATTGGCACAAAACTAAGTAAATAAAGTACTGACAATGCAGAATTCTCTACAACTATGACTTTTAAATTTCTAACTTAGGTGCTGGAAAGGTGGCTCAGTGGTAGAGTGCTTACCTCCCATGCATGAGGCCCTGGGTTCAATTCCTCAGTACCACATAAACAGAAATATCCAGAAGTTGTGCTGTGACTCAAATGGTAAAGTGCTAGCCTTGAGCTAAAGAGGAGAGGAACTGTCCCTCAGTTCAAGTCCCATGACTGACCAAAACAAACAAATAAATAAATAAATAATTTTTTTTTTGGGGGGGGGGGTCTGGTTGTGGGGCCTGAACTCTAGGCCTGGGCCCTGTCTCTCAGCTCTTCAGCTCAAGGCTAGCGCTCTACCACTTGAGCCACAGCGCCACTTCTGGCTTTTTTTTTCTGCTTATGTGGTGCTCAGGAATCGAACCCAGGTCCTCATGAATGCAAGGCAAGTGCTCTACCACTAAGCCACCTTCCCAGCCCCTTTACCATTTTTTAAGATTAATAGTTTAAAATGTAACACATAATGAAAATATATCCTATAAAAGTTAAATATAATTAGAACATAGTATAATGTTTATATCTTTTATTTTGTATGTCTGTGTGTATTTGTGCCGGTCCTAGGGCTAAGTTCAGGGCCTGAGTGCTGTCCCTGAGCTTTTTTGTGCTCTACCACTTGAGAACTTTAATTGGAGATAAAGAGTCTCAGGGTAGGCTTCAAACTGCAAATTTTCTATCTCAGCCATCTGAGTAGCTAGGATAACAGACATGAGCCACTAGCACCAGCCTAATATTTATAGTCTTACTAAAAATGGATAATCTTACATTTACTTTAAAATAGGTGAAAGTAGTGTTCACTAAAATTCTGTTCAGAGCTGGGTACCATTGGCTTTTGCTTATTTGGAAGGCTGAGAATGGGAGACTCACCATTTGAGGCCAGCCTGGGCAGGAAAGTTCTCAAAACCTCTTCTACACCACACCCAGATATGTCAAGCACCCATTATCCTAAGGTACTAGGAAGTTTGCTAAGAATGGAAGGGGAGGGAGAAGGGGGAATGTTTGCAATTCCAGGTCCGCAAGGACAGAAAAGGCCAAAAGACAGAAGTCCAAGAGACTATCTCCATGGAGGGAAGTAGACATGATGGTGATTGCCTGTGAACCCAGAAACTACAAAAAACATTATCTAAAGTAGGCAGATCTTGGCGTAGGGCCATACCCAGCTAGGAGGTAAGACCTTATCTATCTCAAACATAATCAGCAAAGCAACTGGGCTGGAGGTATGGCTCAAGTGCTAGGGCACCAGCATAAAAATCATGAAACCAAATTTCAACCTAGGGGGAGGAATATTTTCAAAAACCATTATTTCTTTCATGTCTTGCCTGTAATCAAAGAACTGTAATTAGGTAAGCACAGCTACTCACAGGAAGATTTTTTTATAATCTGTCCCTTTAAATCTTTAAATACCTTAAATCTTTAAAAACTAATTTTCAGAAAGGTTTTATTTTTTCCCCTTTTGAAGTATATTTTTATTTCCTGTATTCTTTTATTTTTTAGATGGGAAAATGAAGGTAAGTGAGGACACAAATAAGCTTATAGGGTTGGGAGGTAGCTCAGTGGCAAAATATCCTGGGTTCGATACCCAGTACCAAAAAAGAAAAGACAAAAAACACACAATTAAAAAAAAAAGAATAAGCTTACAAGCTATAGAACAGTATTTGAATGATTATTAAAAGCACCTAATATAGTTTCTAAAATGGCAGGAACTACATATACATGAAATGTTCGTGTGAAAGGATAATATAAACACTTACCTTGTGAGTCGTTTGGGTGGAGGGCGCTCACCAAATTTCCTGGAGGAAAAAAAAAAACAACTTAAGTAAGCTGTTAGTACTATGAATTCTCCCTTAGGACTTGACTTCACCCTTAAAAAAACACAAGGATTCCTCCAGCAATTATCTACATAGAGAAATAACACGCATAAACATAGTACACTATGTGAACAGGCCTCACATCCACAGTGAGCCCATGCCACACAGATGTACTGAGGACAATGGGTCACTGCCACACCTAGTCTTTTAGCAACACAGAGGAACAAAAACCTCTCAGCTCAGGAGGTAGTACAGGGTTTTCAGTGTTCACTGTGTCAGGCATTAGCTATACATTTTTTATATAATGCCTTACTTAATCACGGTAAGACAATTCTACAAAGTCTACATCATCTTAAAGGTATGAAAGGCCAAAGTCACAAATTAAGTAGCAAGCTGAGCTGAAAAAGTCGAATTTTGATAACATGCCCACGGAGTAAGGTCCTGTTAAGGGAGAAACATGGTAAGTAAATAGGGCTGGCACAGACTGTGGCCATTATGCAGGCTGGAAGCAGGAGAGAAGAAAAGCATTAGAAGAATGATTCAGGTTGGAATCATAACAGCAAGGAGACTAGGTTAGGTCAAATTCATAACTTGGCATTCATTTGTATAAGTCTAAAGTTAGTCCCATACCTCCCTAGATCTCAGTTTCCTTTCCAATGAAAAGGACACAGTGGTTGTCAAGAGAATTAAATGTGGTAATTAATACACAGAAAACATATAGAACAGTACCTGGAACATAGTAAAATGCTCAATAAATCTTAGTAATTACCTTTTTTACTTATGAAAGTTTAAATTAAAAGAACTATATAAAGAAGCTGGACGCCAGTGGCTCACGCCTGCAATTCTAGCTACTCAGGAGATCTGAGGATCACGGTTCAAAGCTAGTCTGGGCAGGAAAGTCCATGAGACTCTTATCTCCAATAAACCACCAGAAAACCGGAAGTAGCTCTATGGCTCAAGTGGTAGAGTGCTAGCCTTGAGCTGAAGAGCTGAGGGATAGCACCTAGGCCCAGAGTTCAAGCCCTACAACTAAAACAAGCAAACAAACAAAAAATCTATATAAAGGAACTCTGGTGTTACTAGAAGCAGAGTATGTGCAAAATCTATGGTCATGTGCTAGCCTCTTATTTCCTCAAATAGGAAAGTATGACTGTCTTGAAACATGAAAGCATGGCACTTGAATAAAGAACCAAGGGGTTGATTTATAAACAGCTATGTGATTTGTTCATAAACACAGAATGTGAAAGTTTATTTGAATTATGTTTTCTATACCGTAGTTGTGGTGTTCCACAAGATTATTAATTTTGGTAATAAAAATCTTAGGACCCTGTTCAAAATTAAATGCAAGTAAAGACACTGTCTATGAGTTCATAATTTATAAGCAATGAATATCTATTTCTGAATGTTAATATTTTCATTAAAATATAGAAAAGTAGCTTTAAATGAAGAGCATAAAAGTGAGCAAATAATCCAAGTTTTGTAGGCAAAATTACATCTGATTAGACAGTTCATAAAGATCCATAATTTTCCCTTAACAAAAGTACACTTGAAAGAATATCAATAATGCTAGACCACTGTAACAGTTCAAAGTATATGTTGTTGATTCTAGGTTAGTGATAAAATTCCAAAGAGGACAGGTTTACAAGGCAATAAGTTACATGATTACTTAATAAAAATCAAAATGGGCAAAAATATTTGTTGTTGAACAGAACATGGTTATCTTCAAGAAGTGGCTAAGAGCTAGGTGCTGGTAGCTCATACCTGTAATTTTAACTATTCAGGAGGCTGAGATCTGGTGATTATGGTCCAAAGCCAACCCAGCAGGAAAGAGTGTGAGACTGTTAGCTCCAAATAACCACCAGAAAACTGGAAGTGGAGTTGTGGCTCAAAGTGGTAGAGCACTAGCCTTGAGCAAAAAAGCACAGGAAGAGCACCCAGGCCCTGAGCTCAAGCCAACGAAAAAAGTGGCTAAGAAAGGCCTCTGGAGAGAGCTAGTTTCTGTGATAGTCACGTATGAATATTTACTTTGTGAAAATAAGTTCTATTGCACCTATATAATTTCCATAAGGTATATTATTTTAATTTAGAAATGTATATGCGTATACATGTACATGTGCTTACAAAACGTTAAGGCTTTTAATGCTTGCTTGGACTGAGGGTAAACAAAAGTCCTTTCCTGAACTTAATTCCTATTGTCCTCAAATTTCCTTTTAACATGTAAGTTTAGAAGCTGGCAATTTCTAGTCCTCAGCTCTAGCATTCCAGGATATGTACTTCATATTAAATATTATAAGAATAGTCAAATAGTAAGTTAAATTTAAGTCCTGACTCCATTGGTCCTCTTTTCCATCTAAATCTGAGTCCAGCCTTTCTAACAATCTTCTCTCATTCATATTACTAGGCAGAAAATTAGGACCAATTGTGGTTCTTTCTTTGGCAAACCATATTTTTTTTGGGGAGTGGGGAAGAGTTGGTAATGGGGCTTGAACTCTGGGCCTGGGCACTGTCCCTCAGCTCAAGGCTAGCACTCTACCACTTGAGCCCCAGTGCCAATTCTGTTTTTTTCTGCTTATGTGGTACTGAGGAATTGAACCCAGGGCCTCATGCATGCGAGGCAAGCACTCTACTACTGAGCTACCTTCCTAGCCCCACATAGCATATTTTTAAAGTAAAACTCATTAACTATTCAGTGTTGTGTAAACATGCAAGAATTCAGAATATTTCAATTGATTATTTTAAAAACTGGTTTCCTTTGCCTATTTCACCTACAACTGACATGAAGAGAGTATAGAATGGTGTTAATGTATTTGCCTGCCAGGTTCTAGTTCCTTTTTTCACTTTAATCATTCCACCCTTATTTATGTGGCTGTTTAGTTACTATATCAGGCACCTGACATGGAATACCACAGCAACAAACAAGAAATACAGTCCCTATCTATAGAGCAGATAGGAGACAGGCATTATAGAGTAAACTTTGCAAGGAAAGCTTGCCTCTACCCCCTAATTATTCCCTAATCAGAGAAGAAACCTGCTTAGCAACACATACTGGGAACCTTTGTTTGAAATGTAACTTGGAGTTTCATGTTTATGATTTTCCATACAATGTACTTCCAGGTAGAATTTTTACATTCAAATAGAATTGTACCTCAAGTTCTCTTTCGGTCACTCAAATGTGAACAGGATGACAGACATGAACTTTTATGCTAGGAAAAAAAAAAGGACTCAAACTTTTTATGACATAGCATAGATCTGAGTTGCTACGGGAGGTTGTCAAAAAAAAATCTGAAAAGAAACCTTTTATAAATCTTCCCAACTGTTCAACTATTCAATAAGGTTTGAAAAAGTAAAAAGTAAATATTTTTGCTTAGTAGAAAGTGAAAACCCACTTTCTAAAGATATAAGAACACAATCCAGAAACCATACTTTGTTGCATAATATACACACAGACACGTGTATAAGTACATGTAACTATCATAAATTTGGCAATACCTTCCGGAACTGACTACTCCCACACACAAGACTTAAAATTGTAGTAAGGACTGTCATAGTCTCCTGACTTTAGTGTTTGTAATCATAAATCACAATACTGAAGCACATTTTTAATTGAAAAAGACTATGAATCTGCATAGACTTAGTTTAATCAAGTTTTTTTTTCACTCCTTGCTTCCACCAAATTATGACTGGTCAATTTATTTTTATCTTTATTATTCTGTCAGTCCTGGGGCTTAAACTCTGGTCCTGGATGTCGTCCAGTTTTTTGTGCTCAAGGCTAGTGCTCTACCACTTGAGCTACAGCTCCATTTCTAGTCCCTTTTTTTTTTTTGCGGGGGGAGGGGGCGGAGGGGGCGGAGGGGGGGGGATTCCTGGCTTTCCTGCTAAGGCGGCTTAAAACTGCGACCCTCAGATCTCAGCCTCTTTTTAAGCAGCTATGATACTGCTATAAAGTTTAATGTAAGGTAGTCCCCAGCTTATAATAGTCCAACGTGAGATTTTTTTTTTCCAACTGTATAATGACTCATTGTTCTTTTCTCTAGCTAGCAATATACTGTAATATTCTCTTGAGATCCTGGGCAGTGACTTTACAGTGTACTCACTGTACACTTGCTTAGCATGCATGAAACCCTGGATTTGATTCCTCAGTACCACATAAGCAGAAAAGGCTGGAAGTGGCATTGTGGCTCAAGTGGTAGAGTGCTAGCCTTGAGCAAAAGCTCAGGGACAGGGGGCAGGCCGTGAGTTCAAGCCCCAGAACTGGAAAAAAGAAAAAAAAAAAAAAAAGGTACTAATGTTTGAACTTAGAAGGTCTCAGGCTGGCTTGCTTGCCAGGTTTGTAGCATTGTCTGGTTACTTTGGAGATAAAACCTCACAGACTTTTCTGCCCTACTGGTTTACAGCAGTGATCTTCCAGATCTCAAGTCTCTGGAGTATATCGAGGATTACAGATATAAGCCACCAGCCTCTAGCTAAAATCACTTCCAACTTGAGGTATTTTCAACTTAATATGTAGGGTTAACCACAAGATAATCCCTATGTTGTTGAGAGGCATTTATATTTAAATTCATCAGTGGATCTGTCATTATTTTCCTTTTAAACAACAGATACACCGGGGTATTTATGGAGATAACTTAACGCCAAATGCACAAAGGAAAGGCTATGATTCAAATTTATAAGAACAATATGCTGAAATAAGGACACAGGATGACCCAATGCAACAATGATACTCACAAAACACTATGTTGGAAGTGAACCTTACAACTTTGGGGGGAAGGAGGGAGTGAGGGAGGTAGGAGAAGGAAGGGCTAGTGGGAGAAAAACCAAGGAGGGAATAACAATACCTAACAAGAAATGAACTCATTTCATTACCTTACTGATGTCACCGTAACCTCTTTGTACAGCATCTTTACAAGAAAAAAAAAAATTTTTTTGTCGGTTGGGGGGCTTGAACTCCAGGCTTGGGCACTGTCCCTCAGCTCTTCAGCTCA